TTTTTTTTATAAAACCAAACGTGAATAAAATACCTCAACACATTCAAAATATAAAACAGCATTCAATTATACGGCACCTCTATTACCAATGTAGAACAGTAAATTTAAACGTCTGCATTCGGTCGGGTTCTTATTTGAATACTCCGATTAACGGAACTATCTGCTTTTAATGCGAATTTTCGCCTAAATAGTCCGACTTTCTCAATTCTTTTGCATTTTCTAGTCAACACTACACTCTCATACACTGCCGCAATAAATTTTCAATGTTATTTTACACTATATATATGGATATATGTTTTTTCTTATTAAAGCTATCAAACTGTGCATAAATAGCGTAAAACAAATTTTAACAAAAACTTATCGATCGAATAATATGGTTCTGACGTAGGCAACGCGACCTATTATGAAACACGGCTTCACATGTTATCTTCCCTTTGTAACCATGGAATCTTTTTATATCAATTATTTTTATTGTTCACGTTAAGTAATAACTGTTTGCAGACTTTAACGATAATGTTATAATTGTTCTTTCTGCTCTCCCGTGACGCAATTTAGATCGATACGCAAATGCGTTAAAAAAAATTTAATTTCAAATTTAAGAATGAATCTTAAATTTCCAATAAGAGTTAATAAATTTTCACGGTCCATTTTTTTTAGCTGGATATAAATGTATTTGGATGGCGCCTTCGTGTGACGTCATAATATCCAACTTTCGCATATTTATCCGAATTTTGAGGCATCCCATATTTTACCAATTTCTCACGTTTATCATTTCTAAAAACAAATTATTCGAAAATATTATGGAACTGGCAGTATCTACGATGTTTAATCCCGAAACAGGTTATCTGTTCAAATACCATTCCGCTATTTTATAACTTGGCCACATTTATCATTTCTAAAAACAAATCATATGCTTCAATTTTATAAATAAAACAAGAATATCTAAGAATTTGACAGTCGAACTGAAGTATTTCAACAAAATCTGTATGGTTCACATTTTTGCTGGAATAGATATATTCTATCAAAGACTCTACTAGCGCCCTTGAGTGACGCATACCATATAGGCATAAGAACCGCAAATTTACTTCTTATACTTCGCCCATTTATACTATATGGTCTCACCACTCAAAGACGCTGTATTTGCGCCTAAATTTTGATTTCATTGTTATGTATATGTTTATTAGGTGTTGTGTTGTCTCTATTTATATATATTGTCTTGTCTTATGAACTCCCCTGTATAAACAGTTTTGTATACTCCACCCTTACCACCAAACGACCCATTGCCCCACCTTTCATAACTGTCTCTATAAGGGCCCATACTATACATATTTAATCTAATGTTTTTGGACACGTAGTGGACATAACGATCGTTTCAATATTATGTTGTTGTTCTTGTTCTTTGACACGTTTTTAAAAAGTCGCTTTTCTCTTTGATTACTGGATGAATTGCTTTGAAATTTTCAGTGGTTGAAGATGAAATTTTTCTCCAGAAGGCTATTACTTTTATTTATTTCAAATATTTCTGTTAGCTCTGTAAGATTTGTTTTTGTTTGCTATGACGTCACTAAACGTTCTGCGGATATCGGACGCCATTTTGTGTCCAACGGACCATCTTGCAATTTCAATTCACGCTGTCACAAGACAGGACCTTCTAAAGATAGAGAAGTTCTGGTACCGTAACACAGCGCGGTGACACTGAACTAACTCGTAGCTGTCAAAAGCTTGAAAATCCATACAAATATGAGAAATAAAAAGACGAAACTTGGCAGGTGGGTAGAGTTGTGTTTCTTTTAACCCAGGGGTCGGGAACCCATGGCTCGCGAGCCATATATGGCTCTTTTGGTGACGGCATATGGCTCCCAGAAAAATCTAATATTCTAAGACCAAGCTTACTATTGTTACGAGATTTCAAACACTTTTATAGCCAATTTTGGCAGGAAATTCCCAATACGTTTGAGAACGCGCGCCCAGCACATGTCTATGTTACGTAAGATTATGACAGACAGGCATTGTGACAAACAAGGGGATTCTGGAAACATATATTGTGACACCACAAAGCGATAGAGTTTTAAAAACACTACGGAGATGCCTAAACGAAAAAGGGTGATGAGTACCGTAGATTTCAACTTGGGCTGCAAGTGAGCAACCGTTCAAGGCCCGCAGCGACTACATGCAGCATCAGAAATCACATTAAATGTATATTGACATTGTATGTGTTGACTTTTGAGTAAACATTTCAGGCCTGATTAAGTGAAGAAATGTTATATGGCTCGCACGGAAATGCAATTGAAAATATGTATATTTTATGGCTCTCTTGACCAAAAAGGTTCCCGACCCCTGTTTTAACCATATTTGAAAGTTTCGCGTTTCTACATTTGAAGGAGGGGGAATAGGGGCTGTGCATTTCCGATACGTCGATAATATCTTTGTCAACCAATTTGCGGCCACCGTGTTTTCGTCTGTTTGATTGCTGTGATGTGGTGCTTTGTTTATAATTTACCGAGTTTTGTTCGAAATAACCGTGTTCTTGAAATATATGACGGTCAGAAATGCAATTAGAAGCCCAATGTTTTCACGCTGTCACAAGACCAACAATTGTCAACCAATTTGCGACCACCGTGTTTTGTCTGTTTGATTGCTGTATGGCTGCGTATGCGATAGTCTCGACGCAGCAGAAACGATGATCAAGGCTTGAAAATTTAGCGTGTAGAATAAATGCCGCCAATGCACCCACGGTGAAAAAATTAACGGGTTAGATGTATTGGTTTTTGTTTTATAGCGGTTTGAATGAAATTGTCCGCAGACTGGCTACACCACCCTAGGCCTGGTGAGTTGTCCGTGTAGTCGAATTGTCCATCAGCCCTAAACGGCTATGACAGTCACTGTACCAAAAATTGTACCCCGATTCGGGTGGTGGTAAGTTGACGCATGTGAAATGTTTGACTGTGGTTCGGTACCTGATCCGATAATACGGTACATAATTGACTCATATCACGAGATATTTCAACTGATGTTTCAATTGTCACAGGACCTAAAATATCTATGACAGTCCCTGTACCGTCACGGTACCCCGATACAGGTACTGGTAAGTCACCGCCGGTATGTTAGTCGTTGGTCACCGCATATGATTTTTGGGGAATTGTTCTGCGTGTCAATATATTTGAGCATTGCTCTCTTGTTAGTTAAGTTATGCTAAAAAGTATAAGTAAGTTATTAAACACTTGTAGATCCTTACCACGGATATGGGCCGTGAGACGAAGCCTTGAAAACGCCCAGAAAATGAGTTCCGTAGCGCACATCTGGTAACTAAATAAATTCTTTCGCTTTGTGTGAAAATGAACATACTGAACGCATTACAGCTTGTTCCACAATCCTGATGCGAAATTGAATATAAGAGGTTCCCGGAAATTCAATAACCATAAGTTTACAACACATACATAATAACTATGCAATTCGAGAGCCCTACAGCACACTAACACAAATGTATTCCTGTAACGTTTTGCCTGACCAAAATCAGACTTCCTCAGTCAATCATAATTTATTAGGTAGATTACGAAAAATATGGCATACATGTAACCAACAACAAAAATACTTTAATTGTGTGACAGGAGTCGCGAGTGACCTCGAAAAGGCGAATAAATTTTATGTAATAACCACAAGCAGTTTACAAAAAGAACAGCATAAAAATCTACATCCATTTCATTGAAGCTATCAAAGGTATTCATTTTTAAGCTATGAAGTCACAAATTAACATCGTGAGCACAACAACACAAATAAATCGGTTATTTCTCACTTAGAAATTTACCGGAACATATAACATATTGAACAGAAATATTACAGTTAGTCTTTTTTTAGCTCATGTGGTTATCTATTATATGTAGAAACAGGACTACGACACTAACAATGTCCGAAAAAACAAACAAATAAATGATACTTATTAAAACAACTGCAATATCTAATTCTCTTTCTTCTGAATTGTTTTCGAAATCCACTATCTCGAAAATCGACTTTTCCTTTATAAGTGTACTGTGATTTTTGCAGTCAATACAAAAACAAAAATCTGTGCAATTCAAGTTGATTTTGCCTCACCTGCATAAATTATTTCGACTATTTTTCTTACACTTGCAGTTTGCCAACTCGAGAACTGATTTGAGGGCCACATGTTTCTTCAGTGAATCATTGTTGGGTGGAGAGTTTAATCCTTGTTTGTCAGTGTTAAATAGACGTACCCTGGTATCATTTACATTCTTCATACAGTGAACAAACAAATTCCTCAGCTTTATTTATTAATGCCTCGTTAACCTCAAAAGATCTTCATAGTCGAGAAAAAAAAAATGAATTGAAAACCTCAATGAAGTCTCTAACATGAGTTTGATGGGCCAATTGCAGAAAAGTGCTAAAGTATTTCAGTATGAAAACCCCTCTAAGCTGCTTGCAACTATTATGATTCTCATATACCTTTACGCTTCAAGACTTCTTGTTTAATCCATTTTATAGCACTGATAGCAGCAGGGATTAGAGCCTGCGTTAGGTCGGATTGGTGGAACATTGCCGTTTTCTTTTGTAGTACAGTATCTAAAATGAGAAAAAAAATCCTATTTTGAACAGAATGAGTGTAAAAATACCACTAAATACTAACTAATACCTTGCATACATAATGCATTTTATCTGATGTACTCAATGAGCGTATGTACTACAGTCCAGCAGTGTTTGCATACCATTACTAGATTATATCTACACTAAATTTTGATATTTCACAGTCTGAAATGCCCTACGACAGTATGAGTATGGACTATAGGCCTAGACTATATTTTAAAACATCAACTGTCTGTCTACAACTTGATTTCTCACCTCTCAATCGTTTCCAATGCTACTTTCTTTCCACTCCGGCATAACTTATCGTATCATTGCTTCCCAGGTTCTTGTCGACTATGAATTCAGATTTAGACCAACCGACATTAGTAAGACTGGTTATTTTCTTCTCTTTCACACAACCGTGCATTACAGAAACAGCCATTAATTTCTATTTCCAAATATGCTGTGGCCTATAAGTCTGCTGAATAGTCAAGAAGAGTCATTAAATTAATCATAAACATTTCATGCAAGCCAGAAAATATCGTTGCGACATATTATTCTAGTTCTAGCCTTTCTTGGAGTTACCGCACCGTACCTATTTAACAGCGTCTTATGAGCTAGTGCTCAACTAAAATTGCTATTTATGGTAAGGATATACAAGTGTTTAATATCTTACTTATACTTTTTCCAACACCTCCTTAGAATAACTGAAAAAACTATGAAAAGGCTACTCGACGCAAAAGCGAGCAGTAGTAGTACATCTGATATTCATCAGACTACTGGGGATTTACCTACAGCTGACTAATTTGATTGTTCCGTCATGCACAAGTCTGCGTTCATTGGCCCGTGATACCGAAAAAGCAGAGAAAATAGGACAGATGGTAACACATATTTATTGTAGTAAAAGTGTATTTTCTGTAAAACGTGCAACTTTTGTAAATGGGAACAAGGCAATATTTGTTACTGAATTTCTAAGGAACATTTTAAAATCATTTTCAGGTAGTTACCTTATGTGCGCTACGAAACTGAAAGATAAATGGCCTTGACTCGCGGCCTATAATGATCTCGAAAGACGTTCCTCGTCAATAACATTTGAAGTTGAACCGTATATAGCCAGTTGCCACGAAAAAAGCTGTGGAATAATATCATACTTCCGTACCAGTTTGTTTTCGACAAGCCACCAATGCATTGTGTGATTCCACCTAAAATAGTAGTAAAGCATTTAGGTATAAAGAATTAAATTGAAAAAAAGTAATATATAGCTCATCATCCCACCTGAAAGCGTGACCGTGCCTGGAAGACAATAACATTACAAGGTGCCTTCCAATGAAATGGAGGGGAGGTGTATCATGCCGATTTCGCGAAACAGGAGGCTTGACAACTAGCAAAATTTCATCATCTTCTAATTGTACAGAAGGTGAATGACCAAAATCGTCTGTGACGCAGGTCACGCATTTGTTAACAATTAGTGACAAAATGTACGATAGAATCTGTGCCTCAGAATTTCCAGCTTGTTGGTGTGAAAGACCCATTGTATTGAAAGTGCTTTGAAAAACAACTTTTGACATACTAGGTACAGAACGGTTTTGAAATTTTTCAATAGAGGCAACGGAGGATAAAATCGACGCAGTATATTGGTTATTGTTTTCAACTGCTTGCATCAATGCTAAATTAAATATTTGCCTGCAGTGAATAATTACGAATAATATTAATCGTGATAGTGATCATGTTTCCCTACTACTATTATGCATTGATAAGTTTATTCCTTTACTGAAATTAATTACAAGTTGGCAAAGGAAAGGTTTACAGCCGAAATAGTCGGCTGAATGAACAATAACTATAAACATTTTATGTAGCTGAATTAAATGATTGTCAAATAGATCGGAAGTTTGTACTTGCCTCGCGTGATTTGCCCTCCACATATAATAAGCACCAATTTCAGAGACGTAGGTTCCCGGAGACAAATGTTTCTGAATTATATCTTCGTCATAAACACCAGACTTTTCTCGACGATGTACATCATATGTAAGCAGGTAAGATTTCACATCTCGACGTCTATTTAGAATTTGGAAAGTCTTTTTCTGATATCGTTTCGTTGACCTACTTTTAAAGTATTTACCATATGCTGGTCAGGCGAAATGGTTATTTTCGTAGGATTAGGATTTAGTGAACATGACATCCCAAAGTGTCCGCCACGTACGTCTATAACGTGCCCCGATGAATTCCATTCCTTTATTTTGCCCAAGCGTTTCCTAAGAGTGCATGAAGCTAAAATATCCCATCCTTGTTCAGCATTTGGTCGAAGAACGGGATTCGTGGGTGGGTGAAGTGTTGGACGTTTGAGAGAATCATGTTTGTTTTTGCACCATAAGATGCTAAGTCCATGTTGATTCGTAACCGCTATTCCAGCAGCACACACGTAGCTTTCCAAATACATTGTTGGTAAAGGCGGCCAGTCGGGTCGTGCTCCACGGAATGTGTCGGGATCAGCTCCCAATAAGTTCAGATTCGTTATATCTGTTAAATAATGCAGAAATGGAATGTAATCGCAATCTTCCAAAAATTGCCAGCAACCTAAAAGACAAATGACGTCAGCAACTGAAAATGTATTGAAAGCCTCTTTAATGTACCCTATGTCATAGGTTTCCACGAGAGAGTTGAAGCTATGAATATCATGAGTACGATCTAGAAATCTGCATGCTGTGTGAATGAACTCTATTACGCGCCACATATCCCTAATTGGAGTTGGCAAGACTGACAAAACTTCATGAGAAATGTTACGATCGTGGCCGGTAATGACAAGATAGACCAAACAACACTTGGCTAAGAACAAAACCAGGAGTTACGTGTAGAATTAAATTGTGATGTTAAATACAAAGATCGCACAGCAATACCTGTGGTGAAGTTGAGTCACCACGTTTAATAAATCCATATTTTTTACCTGATACCTGAGGCCTCGTACGTAAATTAATATTATACTTAGCTGTACTGTTTCTGCAGCAGTTGGCACATTTCCTTGTGTCTGGTCGTTGCGTTCGCTTTGGTCGATGTCATTTGCAAAGTAAAAGTTTGTAGGGGGCTCCCGAAGTATGCGAACAAAGATGGCGGACATCGGAATGTAATATGTGTACTAGGTTAGGGTTAGGCCATAATTTTAGGTATAAATACTACGGGAGGCTCTTGGCTAGTCTTCGAACTGATAATAGGACTAAAATAAGGAAAATTGGAAAAAAATTATCGCCTGACCCTAACCTGTTACGTTCCGATGTCCGCCATCTTGGTTCGCATACTTCGGGAGCACGTTTGTAGAATATCGGTGGCCGCTTGAGTGTTCGACTCTGCTTCTAACGGTGCTAATGAATTTTCGCGGAATTGTTTGCTCCTTTCTTAAACAACTTGGTGTATCATTAGCCCGTGCATTGTCAGCAGATCTTAAAGACGGGAGAAGAGCTTTGTAATGTAAGTCATTAGATTAGTAACCAATATTACCACTTGAGAAAAAGTGCCGAACGAACCAAAATGTTTCGTCCTATCATCCCACAAACGAATTGTTATTGGATACAATGAAGCTATAGCATGAAAACAACACGTTTGAGCCCATTCACGAGAATTTCGTGTTAAAGAAACAAAGGTGGTAAATTCCGAATCGCGATCATCAGAATCGGTTTCTAATAAATCTCTATAAATATGTGGACGGCTACCTAGTTCATCTGCTACGATTGACCTAAATTGCTCGATATTATCTGGTACATTAGATAAGCCCAAAGATCGCATACCATCTAGAATTTAAATTTAGGCACAGTGGCCATCTCCAGTATTGTTTGATAAATGAAAATTGTTTAAACGACAGACCTGTTGAAGCCATACCATACCACCTGGATTATGAATTGGCCAATCGCGAAGTCCGTCAGTGCAAGGCGAATGAGCGGTTGTCGGCAACAAATCCCAAACTGTTTCTCCAAAAACTGGATAACGAGTCGATACTCGATATCGTTCTGTAAAAGTCCCAGTTTCCTCTACGTTCTCGTAAGTCGGTTCGGTGGAATTGCCTTTATTGCCAGTTGCCAACCATTGAAGCAATTTCCTAGAGCATGGACGTCTAGCGCGTTTACGTCCAACAATACCTGATAAATGTTGTATGTTAATAAATATTGAGGCAATATTGCAAAGTCTAACGCAAATGATATTGTATTTACATACCTTAAATCGTAGATTATCTTCAAAATATATAAAGCACCCGAATGAATGCACTGCAATGCCGGCTCACTGCTTGAACTTCGTGATGTATTGTCAGTTATAAATGTATAACATAATGGGGAAGTTTGAATAACAGCTTAAGTAGATTTAATTATATTAAGATATCACTCTGTAAAATGATGATATTGTAATGAGTACAAATTGGTAACAATATGAGCATTATTAAGGTATCGGTCAGATCGAATATGTCATTTAGCAAGATTACGTTCGGCCAAGGCACGAACGATGCTAGTTTCGAAAATGTTTGTCATTGTCCGGGTAAAGTACTTAACGCATTAAATCTGTGGTTACCATATACAACTACATAAATGAAATGTTGTGGGCACCAGGGAAAAGTGATCTATCAGCAAGTTCGGATAAATAAAAGAAAAACCAAGTTGAAATAGAAAACATTACGAAATAATATATAGTTAAAAATTCTCATTATGATTTAAGATGCATTAAATCAACATTTGACGCTATTTCTCAATACATCTGCATTGCCTATTGAAATATATGTGAACGGTCCGTCATTAGACAAAGAGAAATTTTCAAAAACTCCAGAAACAATGAAGTGGGAAATTCATTCACAAAACAATGAATATGGCAAACTTGAATCATAAAAATGCTGATTGACTATGAAATAATAAACAATAAAAATTAAATCTAATAATTAAACAAATGATGTGGAGCTAAAACGATTTGATACAGCACGAATTTTATACCTTCAGAAACATGATAGCAACATTTGTTAACTGGTACGACGCTAGCACTACAAGTGTCCAAAATGTTTTCCAAACGTATTTCTGAAAAAACCTGTAATTCCAACTTTTGTACCTCGCGTATACAAGTAAAATACTCTAATGCTACATGAATACTAAATGTAAATATTATTTTAATTTAAGTTAAAGCACACGCTTGCAAAATATCAAGTTAGATTTTGCTCGAAAGAATTAAAATATCAGCAAACACATACCACATCATAATGGGTAACGCAAAAATAGCGATTTAAAACTCGATCACCTCGATCGTGAGAACATCAATAAAAACTTCAATTTGCACTAAGTTGAATTTAATCTTTAAAATGTAACTAAATACAGAATAAATTTTCAGTAGTAAAATTCACTGATTCATCATGTACGCAAAGAAATGTAATGTAAGCTAACTACAATCGCAATAAATAATTTCAATTTGCACTAAGTTGAATTTAATCTTTAAAAGGTAACTAAATACAGAAAAAATTTTCAATAGTAAAATTCACTGAATCATGTACGCAAAGAAATGTAATGAAGTACACCTATAAAAAATCCCATTATGTTCTACTATGCATACACATACTATGGCAAAATGAACATGTACTTGTATAAAAGATTGGTAACTCGAAATATTGACCGATATTACGCTTTTAAATAAGTGGGTTCTAAGTTATAATAACAATTTTTATCTAAGTATCGATATGATCTGATCTGAGCAGCTGTTTTCAATATAACAACTACAATCGCACAAACGTAAAATGAGACAGAAGATTAAAAAAATGCTATACGATTGCGTTTTGAGCTCTTGCGTTATTCTCAACGCCACTGCATTGGCTAATAAAATATATAAGGTCAGTGTATTGACAAATAAAATATATTTGAGAAATTTTGAAAAACTTCAGTAACATTTTGAATTACTTGTAATTAACAACGAACACGGAGAATATGCAACATCTTGTTATTGTCTTAATGTAAAAAGTTTATAATATTAGAGTGTCGATTCGGCAGTGAAAAGTTCGGTTTTCAGTGAAAATACTGCAATGGTAACGTACAATATACAACGTACAATTACAATATGACTTCTGCTTAGTGTCATTAAGATTGTCGTGAATGAGTAATTATCTGATATCGATTGGCCTGGCATTTAATGTATTTTGAAAGTTTAAGGCAAAACGTAATTATCATATTCCTCTTATTCTGCGTTAAACTTATGTGTTAAGGAGTAACAAGTAACATAAAACGCTGTAATGAAATGGCAGCTTTGGTACAATTCTCTTGATGATACAACATATTGGGTTACCCAGTTGTTAAAAAACCGGAAATGACGGGGTCTCGGGCAATGGCTAAGATCAACACTGGGCGCCTACCGCCTTTAAATGCTAATAGGTTGTTGTATTATATTCTTAGTAGAAGCTATTTAAGTTAAATATGTAATTTGTTTGTATTCCAACAATATATTATTATTATTATTGAGGTTTGAGGGAAATCATGTTAAAAAGTCATCTATCCTCATACCGCAGAACAACATACACAACTATATACATTAATTGGATAATTAAAATTGAACAAAACATCGCATCTTTGATGGCTTTGCCGTGTCGTTTAAAATTTCTAGTATACTCAAGGCATTCAACGATGATATTCAAGCACATGCTATTACATGAACTTTTTTGATTAGTTTGCATAAATTATTGGAAGTATCATTTTTTGTCTAGATTGTTGTTTAATATTGAACAAATAATATTGTATATCGGGGTTAGCATAACACATTGAAATTATTAAAGTATGTTAAAATATACCGCAAGATTTCTTTGGCGGAATATACCAAAAAATATAAATATTTATGTGATCTTAAATAATGCTGATATGTATTTAGAGGCGATGTGTTGAAAATGGTTCTGAATAGACGTATATGATTTACGCATTAAGCAATAGTTCCGTTTAATAGTGTTATTCATGTAGTGTTATTCATGTTTGTTAGTCAATTTATATTAAGTCAATCCTCGAGAAAGTCAAGCATATGGTCGATATCCCAACAATCCGTCTTGAGCCGGATTAACATTGATTTGCAAAGTTTCAATGCAAGCGAGAAAATTGTCATGCTGAGCGAGCGTGATAAATGTCCCTGTCCCTTCATGTCTAGAGTTTTAATAAGCCATGCAACGAACGCATACAATCTTTAATTTCAATATAGTTTATTATGTAAGCAGCTTTAAATGATTTAGCATATGATAAATGTCTTGAAGATGAAATGGTTCGAGTCCATGTGAAAGACTATATAAATAACAATTTAACTAATGCCTGCACTTGCACACTCGTTAATTCTGAGTTATTTTGTTTTGTTGCCAACTTTAAGTAACTGGACTCATAATGAGCTTCATATGGTCTTTTTAACGAGACTTTGAAATTTTTTTCCTAGTTTCAAAATCTATATATTTCACTTATATCCTTCTCAAATGCGAGATAACAATGCGAATTGTTAAAGAGTTCTCAAATAAGTTTTGTATCTCCTGAAAGCAACTGAGAAGTTGTCTTTCCGATTAAAGAATCTATTCTGCAAGCGTGCAGGCTTTTTTTTAAATATTAATGCGTTTGTGTGGTATTGCTAGTTTGTGAGGTTGTTTTATTGAATTTTGCGGTTGAAAGTTCGAGGGAAATAACATTGAATTTAATAGAAATAATTGACTGTTAATTTTTTTACATACGCGGAACAACATGCGTATGAATCAATTGAAGAATGTCAGATACAAGAAACATTGCTTCATTGACTGTTTAAATTATGTTCGTGAAACTCTTCAAGTTTCAGAATAACGACAGCTTTGCCATGAGCTGCTATGTTGTACAATGGCCTGGATTAGGTCGTATACGGGGTAAACGGAGCTCACGAATAAGCCGGTGTGATTTTAGGTTTCCGATTATTTCAGTAAGTAATAGATCCAAACTACTTGAGATTATATTAGAGAGATGAAGAACGCGACACGAAAGCGTTTATACATTGTACTAAAACAGAG